AGGCTAATTGGCATCTATTCTTCTCACCAAGTGCCACAAATAAACATTCAAAATTCTGTGCCCATATAGTTAAAATCACCAAGAAAATGCATATCAGTGCTCCCTTGTGGGTCCTGGGTATCTATTATTCCCACTCTCCTCCCACATACATTGCAAGCATGGCCCAACAACCCTGGTTATATAAAAAACTTGGTGAGATTCAAGCTACAGAAGACTATTTGGTATGTAAAGTTTGCAAGAGGGACAAAATACATAATGCTTCAGGGGGAAGATAGGTAGTAAATAAATGTGTTGAATGAATGAATGCATTCATGGAAAAAAGTGTCATGAAAACATTCCGCTGCAACACCTACAAACAATGGTTAGCATTCTTTCATTCTATTCTTTTTATTTAATTTGCAGGTGAGCTGAATCAAAAATGTTACAAAAATAAGAGTAGTAACTAAATAAACTGATGATACAGTGGACCTAGATGGGAATAGAGAAAGAGGTACATGTTAATTCCAGGAACAAGATTTGGGCTTTAGTGTCCATGGAAAGAGGTCATGAAGACTTGAATTGGAACTGAGACTCCTGTGTAAAGGCCAAAATTCCTGAAAGTTTGCTTTTCATTTCAGGGAAAATGTGTTCTATATATATTCACCTGCAGGCATAGGAAGACTACAAGGAAAGTGAACTTTGACTAATTATACTTTGGGTACATGTAATTTTGGGTTCTGGATTTAGAAGCCTGAGTCCAAGAGAAACATGCAAGCAAAATTCCTTCAAAGGTATACTCTTAGAACCTAAGACCCACATGAATCCTACAGAAGAAGCAAGTTCTGCTAAAAATGAGCTAAAAACAAATTATAAAACTAAGCAAGGTAATAATCCACCATGAGCTAGAGACAGCAAACACAACATTCAGGAGTATTAGAACACTAATAATTTTAGATAACAGACTACTCTGAAAGAACGTAAAAAGAAAAACCATAAGCATAAAAACAGGCAGATTTTTTTTAAAGTACATAGAACTTCTAGAAATTAAAAAAAAAAACAAGACACGTTAAAAGACACTGAATATAGAAAGAATGAGAAGATACAACATAACAAATAGATGTTGCAGAAAAATACAATAAAAAGAATTAAGGAGAAAGAATATTTGAAGAGGAGATCACTGAGAGTTTTATAGAATTGGTATAAACATGGCTTTTCATATTCAAGATGAATAGCAAGTCCTAACAAGTATAAATTCAGATTTAGACATGTTATACCGAAACTGCAGGACACCAGAGAGAGAGAGAAATTTAAAAGGAATTGGAAACAAAAAGTATCTTACAGTAATTGGAGAGAAGGGTTTCACAGCGACAGTAAAGTATGGAGGAGTTGAGAGGGGAAAGGCATAACTTGTGAAAATTCTGAGGGCGGAAAATAAACTCTTCAACCTAGAATTAAGTGCCAAGCTATTAATATAAAGACAACTTCAGATAACTATTAAGAATGTTTATAATTCACTAAACCCTTGCTGAAAGAAATACTAAAAGATAAATATTATAAGAAAATTAAACCCTGAAGGAAGGAGAAGAATAAAAGGTAAATAAAGACACTGATGAATATGTGATAAATTTAAAAACGCCCTGACTGAAAAAAAATTAAGTGAAAAATTTAAGTAATATATAAAAATCAAGATTGACACCCAAGATGTCAAAGTGACCTAAGAACATCAACAATTGTTTGAGAAGCATAGAGCTAATGATTACATATATAAACTTAAAAAATTGAGGTTAAAATTTAATAGTAAGCTTTGAAAGAATAGAAATATAATCTAAAATTTACAAAATAAAGGGGAATTAGGAATTAAAGCAAATTAAGTAATCTAATCTAGCAGGAAAAGAACAGAAAAATAAGAAGTCCAGACTTAAAGTCAGCAACACGGAAAGGATGTTATCTACCACTGTTTCTATCCAGTATAATACTAGCGGTCATAACCAAAACAATAAGACAAGAAAAACAAATTAAAGTCATAACAATCAGAAAAGAAGAAACAAATTGCTATCACCTGCAAATGATGTAACTGTCTAAAAAGGAAATTACAGACATATTCATAGTTTAACAAAGTTTCTTCAAGAAAACTGATTTAAAAAATCGACATTGTTCCTATAATGCAGCAACAAACAACTGAAAAGTGTAATTATCCCCAGCAATTCCACTGCTAGGTGTTGGCCCAAGGGAAGCTCTTGTACCTATGTACATGAAGACAAAAATAAGAATATTTTCTTCAAAAAAGTTGTAACTGTAGGGAAAAATCTTGTAAAAGTGAAAAAATAGGAAAACAAACAAAAAAGAATTAACCAAATTGTCCCTCAGTTTGATATATTCACTCAATAGGAAAAAAATGCAACAATTAAAATGAATAATTGACAATCTGTATAAATCTCAGAAACAATTTTGAATGAAAAGTCAAGTTGCAAAAAAAGTTCAGTATGATATCATTTATGTAAAATTTCCCTAAATATTATTTATGAATATATAGACAAATAGAAAAATATGAAAATATACATGAGAATCATGCAGAGGAACAAAGCCTCTAACTTCACATATATAGTTACTTCTGGGTCCAGGACAGTAAGACTTCAGCCATAGCTAGAATATTTTATTTCCTTGGAAAAAATTTGATGAATATATGGCAAAACTTTAAGATTTGGTCTTGGTAGTCAGAGCAGAGATGTCTGTTGTATTACTTTCTCTGTTAGCATACTTTCATAATTAAAAAATAACAATGAGCTCTGGCTGATGTGGCTTGGTGGATTGAGCGCCAGCCTGTGAGCCAAAGGGTTGCTGGTTCAATTCCCAGTCAAGGCACATGCCTGGGTTGCAGGCCAGGTCCCCAGTAGGGAGCGAGTGAGAGGCAACCACACATTGATGTTTCTCTCCCTCTCTCCCTCCCTTTCCCTCTGTCTAAAAATAAATAAAATCTTTAAAAAAAACACTGAAAAACTATTCATTGATCAAATTGAGATTTTTAACCAAGTTATTGTTGACCAAATTTTCTGATACATTAGTTGTACCAGAACACCTGGGATAATGTAGATAAACAGTAAGTGATAAATGAAATACATGAGAATCATATGAGCCACTTTGAGATTCACCTCTTATTCTCAATTTCTATTTAATTCTACTTCCCTTTTTCCTTTCTCCTGCTTGTTTCTGGGAGAAGTCACCGAAGCATCTTAAATTTCCATACAAAATAAAGCACAATACAGCAAGAAAAAGAATAAACTACCTTTCCTCTCCCAGATTTTTAGACTTATATTTATGTTTGTGTCAGGTAGAGGCACAGAAAGACTGATTTATGTCTCGTGTTGCCTGCTCTTCCAGTGAAACTCATCATTCACACATTAGCGGGCTAAAAATCATTGAAGATATAGCTGCCAGCAATAAATTAAACCTCTTACTTTGAGGCTTGGTTCCTGTTTTATTCTTAAGAAAATGTCAAATAAAATTGCTTTGGGGAGGATAAAGATGATGATGGATGGCTTATGCCCCAATTTCCCCCAGCTCACTTAAAAAATTTGTCTTATAACAAAAGAAAGTTTTAACATTGAAAACTAATGCTATAGCCTTCTACCCTTTCCTGCATGAGCAGCAGGAGAAAGGACTCCTTTTCCTCCATTATAGTTTCCATATGAACAATAGTAACTAGAACCCACAATATACATGATGTATAGTTATTGTCCGAATGGAGTTCATTTTGATCTTGTGTAGTAAGTTAAAGGAAGAGTATTAAGAATACGTGTTTATGGTGAGAGATGACATCTTTGCTTACCCATTCAAAGGCTTAGCTAAGCTTGAGTCTATGTATATCTTGACTTACATTACTGTCCACTCTAATTTCCTATTTCCACCTGATTCTGCAATACAAACAGGTTCACAAATATCACCAGAAAGTAAACCATCAAGCAATATTTGTTCATCTAAACTACTAAGAAGTGTCTATAAGGTAAAACTCAAGGATCAGCCAAACATATATATTGTTGGCCAAAAATCAGAATGTTCAAAATTATCCAACTGACTATATAAACAGCTGAAGTCATTTCAAGAGGTAGAAGATAAAAATACTTGTATTGATTCACAGGATGTGTTTAAACAACATGTATACTGAAAGTATACTTCTGCTAATATAAGTTGAGGTTCAGCCCAAAGGTCTGTTTTCTCATGGGCATTAAATAAATCAAAATCCATGTTCCTGTCAGACTCAGCTAAAAGGACCCAACAATGCAAGAACCTGCTACAGCTGGCCCTTGGGATGTGGAAACTACCCAGGCAGTTACCCAGAAAGGAAACTGAGACATTTACTTTTCATCTCTTTACATTGTTGTATTTGAAACCTGATCTTCAGGATTGAAAAAACAAAACAAGGCAAAACAAAAAACATAGTCCACTAGATGTCCTAACTGTTAAGAAGTCAGAAATATTGTCTCTGGAAAATGAACATCTTATCTTAAGATAGCTTTTTGTTTGCATCATATGATTCCAAATTTCTTAAAATTTCCATGTCTTTTTCTCCTGATTAGCAAACACATAGAAAGGGAGGTGCAATGGAGAAGGGGTACAAGAAGTTTAATAAAAAAACATGCTGGAGAAACTGTTTGCTGGTACAAACTTGGAGCAACTCAACAAAATCACTTATGACCAAAGAAAACTGCACACTATCCAAGCTCCCACTAAAGAAAAATGCCCACTGGAGATAGTCAGCTCTAAGATTTTGTTTTCTTTATTTGAACTCCAAGGCAAAAGACCATCAACTAACATCATCTGTAAACTGTCTGGTTTATTGAATTCCTGAAACATGATATTGATTTTTTTAAACAATTTAATTTAAATGCTGCACTAATAATTATATTTGTGCTATCAAAATTTAATTATCAATCACAAGGTTAAATAATTTTAATCCAAGTTCTCAGCATAAAAATTGCTACTATTATTCCAATTTATCCATAAAGGTAAAAAAAGACACATACCTCAACAAATATAAAACACGGGATGATGGAATAACTTCGCTGAGTGTTGTTTCCTACAGCCATTTCTTACACCATGTAGCAAGGCTGCACCGTCTAAAACTGTCCAGGCTGAAACAGAAATACGTAGCATGGTGTAAGACCATATGTTTAGCAGTCCCTTAAGTATTTACATAAAAATATCATCTACCCTGTAGATAAGCAGGCTGTATACCAACAGTGCAAAATAGTGATCTACAACACAGTTGAGTCAAATAATCATTCCAGGAAAAAGAAATCATATATACCAGCCATGAACGGTCTTAGAGACCAAATGACCAGGCAGGGAGCCCCTGTGCACGTAGCCATAATCAGCAGAATTCTAAGTGCCTGGTCCTTCACGGTGCCTCAACCCAGCAGGCTCCCCTCGTGCCATGAGACAGTTGCTGCTACAGAACATTTGGTAGCATCCATTCTCTATGGATCGCCTCTTTCTGTGCCCCATCCTCCCAGTTTGCAACTTAAGGACTTATTTGTTTTTGCCCTTGCTGACATTTGTACTGAGGCACCAACCTCTGACAGCCAGCTGTGACCACTCCTTGCCCTGCCTCCCTTCGCTACACGGCTATTAACTACTTTGGATTAATACATCACTGGCCCCTCTCATTGGTTCCTTCACTCCTGTGCTTGCGTGTGCATGTGTGTGTGTGCATGTTCCAAACGCAAAACATTGACAACATAATACATTCTCTTGACTTACAAGAATGGAGTATCTGAGCAACAGCAGATTATTTTAGAAACTTCTTCAGTCCTATTATGAACTGAAAACATTCTATTACGAGTTGAGTTAATTTTGGCTCTCCTTTAAAAAACAAAACAACAAAGTAGAGATCTTAGATTTTTATGAAACTTCCAAGGCTAGATAAAAAGAATTTTCCACTGCACCTCTGATTCTCTATGCAGAGGAACACTTACTTAACGTGCGTCAGGCATTGTTTGTCTTGTATCCCTGCCGTCCTTCCCAACAGTTCTTAGGGACTGTGGTAGGGAGAGCGCCTGAAAATGGCCAACTGTACTTTTCTTAAAGGTCATGAATTAATGTTAATGTTTTCTAACTTGTTTTTCCTTTAACTAAGTCCTTCCTTGCCTTTTCCAGACTGAAACTTTAAAATACATTTCCTTTTCATTTTGAGATACCAGCTTCAGACGTGTTGATTGAAACTTTCTCTGATCAAATTTAACGTTACATGTGACATAGAATCTGCAGCAATTACAGGGCTATGCTGAATATTGTTGAATGTTTAGTTATATCTACCCAGAAGATGCCAGTAGTAGCAACCCCCCTTGCCTCAAGCCATTGCAACCATACTGTCCCCAGTCACTGCCAGCTATCTCCTTCAAGGGGGCAGAGCAACAGGGGGCGGATATGGCCCCGATGGAGAACCACTAATTTAGGAGGACAGAGAGCTGAGCCCCTAGAACATGAAAAGTTTTGAGCTGGTGATGAACTTGCCCCACCTGGTATAAAGGTCACAGTTTAGCCAAATGGGGCAAACCTTTTCTTGCTTGATGCCTAACAGAGGAAAATCTGAAAATTATTGAGGTGGCTTATTGACATTTGGGGAAGTGAAGGGCATCTCAAGCTTAGAGACCACGAATGGGGACATATGAAAGCTCCTGGAAGTGGTGATTACCACCACTCTGAACGCCAGAGGGAAAGCAGGGCTGTTTTCTCCATGAGGCACTATATAGGCCCAGCCCTTATAGGGCCCGTGAGCTACTTAAGAGCCCATGAAAATATAAGAAGTGAGCAGAAAGGCACCCAGGCTATGCAAAACCATATGAATAAATATTAAGTATATGCCTGAAAATGTCAAATTTTCACAACTTCGTTCATTACTAAATTTAGTGTTCATTAACAATTTAATTAACTTGGAAGTACTTTGTAGGTAAAATTCTCTTATTTTTAAAAATCCTTTCCAGGGTAACTAAAATGATTATAAATAAAATTTATGACACAGCAAAAAAAATAATCTCAAGAGAAAAATTTTAAATTTTCATTTTGCCACAAAATAAAAATTTACTATCATATTACTCTTTATGTGTTTATTATCCTATGAAATGGAACCTCAAAGAGCCAGTGCAGAAAACTATCTTAAACAACTTTAAAATAGACCTGGAGGGATTTTTGCTTCCAGCCAAGAGGAAACAACTGTGACCAGATTTCACACCTGATGCAACTAAAAACTACAGACAAAATAAATGAGACAATGGTATTCCAGGCATTAAATGTGAGGCAATGCAGGGCAGTGATCCCTAAAACATGGGAACCAAAAAGAAATGAGCTCTATGACGGCCCCAGTTTGCTGCCTGGCCACACAGAGACAGGGGGAACCCAGAAAGGTGGCTTGTGGTCTCCCGAGTTGAGTAGATAGAGCTGGGAATGTGGGGAAGCTGAAGCAACTGGAGTTCACAAGGCATAGCACCAGAGCCTGCGCAGAGAGCTGGGCCGCTCTGCAGAGGGGCCCCCGAGCCTCCAGCACAGTACCGACAAGCATGGGAAGCAACTACCAACTCTCCGTAGGGAGCATAATCGTCAGGGCTCACACAGGGCTAACACTACTACTTTCTGTTCTTACCAACCAAAATGCAAAGACCCCAGCTCACCAGACAGAAGGTAGAGGTGAGTGAGCTGGGGTCTTAACTCACCTTTACTTTCTGTCTGGTGAGCAGGGGTCTTTGGTCCCAATAACTCCAGCATGAAAACATTCCTCAAGCAGGGACCATTAGTGACGCTGAGCAGTATTCCTTGCAGAGTATTTTTTTTTTCTTTCTCCCCTTTAATTGGTCTGATACAGAATGCTGAGTACTGACTGAGATTCTAGGCCCCCGAGCAGTGTACTTTTCCCTGGTGTCAGGGGACTCTGGAAGCAAGGATGTGACAGTACAATCCATCCTCAGGCCACATCAAAGATGCCTTTGACATGGTTTCACAACCTTCCATGTGTAAAACTTTCTATAAGTCTTCAGAATTAGGCATGTAAGACTGAAATGAGATGATGTCTAGAAAGGGGAAAAATAAAGCTTAATTTCTATGTAATCCAAACCTTATCTGAAGTTAAGGTGGGGGTGGGGGATTTCAGTAGAAAGGGGAAATTAAAAGGTAAGAAAAAATGAGTTGTGAGGTACATTTTATGTAAAGTAAAATGTATTAAAATATATAATGAGTTATCTATAATCCCCAAATCCAACTCATCATTAACACACGTTAAACAGGCTGGAACCTCCGTGGTGACACTGAGCTACCCCTCACTGTTCTGGATCATTTCTATTCTGCACATTACTTCCAACCAGGATCACAGTTTGCATTTAATTTCCCTGATGCTGGAAATCCTTTTTTTCTTTCTTCTTCTTCTTTTTTTTTTAAGCAACAAAGACATTAAGCGATAGGAGCAAATTAAATGGGATTGGAGATGAGTGCAAAACAGATTTCATCACAAGACGGCATGGGATTTACGACAGCGCTTCTGAGGCTTTCAAGAGAAAGACTTCACTTTGTTAAGTTTTAGAGATGCTTTTCAAAGCTTGTAAAGAATGACAGTGTGAAGCCCATGTATGATAGGAGGGTGGCATTGGCACTTCCTTTATTCTCCAGTCTGTTGCGCTCCACGGCGTCTCACAGCTAAATCCATGGTCCAGCCCTTGACCTAGCCCAGAGTAAGGCAGAGGGCATACAAAGGGCCTTTATACAAAGGGCATAAAACTTCAATGGAGGGAAATTTGGAATTGAGTCAAATCTCCACAAAATACACAGGACTCAGGGATTTGTGAGGATACCTGAGCCCCCACATTGTTCCTAAGAGGCTTCTTAGACCCAACAATCATTCCTGGTTCCCTCGGGGCTCCCACTGTACACTGACCCGGCCCTTGTGACCAATCATTAGCTTTGTCCCTGCTGCTTAAATCTAATGAATCCCTCTTATAAAACCTCTATTATCCAAGCCTGCATTGCTGTGTGGACCTCACTCGGTGACTAGGATTCAGCTTTCCCATTTACCTCTGGGAGTCTTTTGAGCACAGAGCATGCCTGGCATACGCTTCTGCCCTGAGCCTGACTGGACAGTCTGCAAGAGAGCCATGGCCTCTTGTCACCTGAATATGACGATGTCTGGGTCCCTGCTGCTGGTCTCTCAGAACTGAGGCAGAAGGTCCCCTGGCTAATGTCTAAGCTTGCAATAATTTTTGACCCTCTTAAACCTCTCCAGTCCCATTTTATAACAATCACCACCCCCTGCCCATGCCCAGCCTTCCTGTACTTTGGCTAGTCACTGAGTTTGTGCAACATGCCAAGGTATTTCTCACATCCGGGCCCTCTTACATGTGCTTCCTTGAGTACTCTTCCCGCCTCCATATTTGCCTAGCAAATCCTCCTAGTACCTCCTTCAGGCTTGCAGTTAAACACTGCTTTCCATGGGAAAGTTTTCTTCACTGCCTGACTGGTTCCAATCTCTCTATTATACAATGTCATCATCCTCCTTAATAATATTTATTGTATAATTTGTTTATCTATTCCTTTTCTAAATTGTCAGGCAGCTTTGCTCCATGTGCCCGGGGCCATATTTACCTCACTTAGCCCTGTAACCTTTGCACCTTGCACAGTACCCAACATGTAGGAGGTGCAAAGATGTTGACACTAACAATGAGCTTAATGTGCTCAGCTCCATTGCTCCATATCACACTTGCCTTGGGTTAGTTCCTTAGATCCTGGCCCAGTCCTAATCTAGGCCTTGGGTCAATCCTTTCTACATCTTGCGTGAACTCAATAATATAGTACTAATGTAGGTCTTGGGTCAGTCTCTTCTGCTTACTCCATCCAGGTAAGACCCACTGTACCTTGGACCCAAACAACAATGAAAAATAAAGTGTTAGGAAAGCCTAGAAATCAAAATGTAAATTGGAAAGTATTTCAAAATGTAAAATTGAAAGGGGGAAATTATTCCACTGAAATCTACCTCTGGGTCTTTTTGATTGTTTAAAAAAAAGAAGTTTGGATTGCTGCTTTAAAAGCTGTGTTCCTTAATTAAATA